TAATATTTTTATTTAAAAATATTAACTTTCAACTTTTTATATTTAAAGATTAATTTGATGATAATAATAACATGACAAATAAGTTTTAAGCAAAATGTTGAAAATTGATATTTTTAAATAAAAAAATTAAAAATTGATAAAATTAATATTCTTAAATTAAAAAAAAAAACATTAACATTTTTATTTACACTTTTTTTCAAAAGAAAGTAAATTACGAGCATCCAAGGAGATGGTGCGTAGCAGTAATTCAACTGGGAAGAGAGGAGTACTAGTAAATGGAAAATGGAAAACGCAGATGGCAGAGGAGAAGGGATCCCATTTTGGATTGGATTATGCGGCAACGTTTCGTAACCCCACTTCTCTGCAGCACAACAAATTGATGATCCCGCTTTTCCATTTCTACCTCCTTTATTTATATTTTTTAAATATTACGTAATATTATAAATTTATAATATTATATAATATTTAATAAAATATAATGTTATTAATTAAATAAATATATAATATCATAAATAAAATTTTAAATTATAATAATTAATTATATAATTATACATCACATTATAATTATAGCATTTTTATTTCCTCTAATTTATGTTGTTGCATTTAAAAAATTACATATTGATTGATGGATTAAATTAAATCAGGTATGTAATAATAAAAGATTTGGATCTTAAACTCATACATAATGACTCTAATACCATATATTAAAATTTTAAAGGTTGACATAAAATTTAAGATTTTAAAATTTAATAAAATAAATAAATTACTTACCTAAGTTGGGTTTGAAAGTCTTATTTTTGCCCCCATTCTCTTGTAATTTTTTCCTTTCTCCATTTTTTGCCATCGTTTTCCTTTCTCCATCATTAATGATAAAATGTCTTTTCATTTACAAACATATTTTTCATTTACACTATATGAGTAAATAGAAAATTAAGAACTAAAGGGAAGTTTCAATAGTTAATAACATAAAATTTTAAATTAATGATTTTAATTTCGAATTTTGAGTCGAGTGAGAAGATTTAGGAAAATGAGAAGATTATCTCATATTATATAATTTATCATTATCAAATATACTAAAAAAATAAAAAATCAAATAATTTAATTGCGACGAGCTAATTAAACCACTTAAATTATGTCATTTATTTAATAATTGTGATTGTATATTTTAATATTTTTAAATATTAAAAAGTTTTAATTTTTTCTTTTTATCTTATTACATATAAAAAATAAACTTTGTTTGATTCTGTTGCCCACAACATTATTCTGCTGAAGGAGACTTTCGTTGCATCCTGAATTTCTCATTGTAAAAACTGCAAGTAAAGCGCACACAGCTTCTGACAACAGACTTTGCAGCTCTCCCTCGTGGTTCTGGGTCCAGTCCAGCCGCTGGGAATCCCCAGTTATTCCTAACTGCATTTCCTCTGCAGGCCTGTTGCAAACTCCTCAAGGGCTTAATGGGAACTCCAGTCAGCCCAACCCAACCCACAACAAGGCCGAGGCAATAGAAATTTAACAATGGTGGGCGGTCCGATTACACAAACAGGAGGCAAAGTTTAATTCTAGGCCCAATAGTCGAAGCAACTCTCCACAAGCTGCAAATCATGCACTAATTCAGGCCAACTATCCCTTCTGATAATTGGCTCATTGACACTGGAGCAAACAAGAACCCGGTGACAACAAACTTGGCCCATCTTGTACTCCACTTAGTGTCTCACACACACCGGTGAAGGGTGAACTCTAAAATCTAAATTGGAGATGGTAAAAGTGTGAAAATCACATTTGTGGGTCACCATGCCTCCTTGCTGATCACTAGAGGTGTTTATATTCGCTCCAATCCAATTCATCCGACTTCAGCTGATCTAATTTGATAAAAAATTGATCCAAATCGATATAAAATTAGGTTGATTTGAATTCTAAAATTTTATAATCGATATAATTAATTTGATTTGTGATTTTACCTTTAAGCCATCCGAACTGTTCGATTATAAAATAAAATTCGATTAGAAGATAATTTAATTAAATAATATAACATATTTTTGTAGTATTTTAAATTTTATTTTTTTTCTTTTACAAGATTATAACTCCATTAACTTAATTAAAAAAATAAAAATGGAACATCTCCATATTCCTTAAGTTATTTCTCCATTCTAATTATGCACTCTAATTTTAATTTTAATTTTTAATTCACCTGTAACCCTATCCTCTCAAAACTGGTTTGCACCTTTACTCTTAGAATCTTAAATTTCTAATTTATTTTTAAAATAATTTTATGATTCTCCTAACTAAATTTTAAATAAGTATCATTTTGAAAGCTTTCAAACTATATAATAAAATTAATCTTAATATTCTACTATTTTTGGATATTTGGTTTAAAAGTTTTAAATTTTGATTATGAATGTTTTTAATCAACTTTAGTAATATTCATATTAAATATTATTTACTTTTAACAGGATTTAGAAAATGTGATTAAATTATTAGTGCATTAAGAAAAAAAAAACTAATTTTAACCTTCAAAAATTATTTACGTTATGTTAAAAATTTGAAGTTATTTTTTATTATTTCTGGTGCCTCTAATGATGTAACAAAAAAGAATTTTTAGAGTTTTTTTAATTTTTACAAATGTAAAAGAGTATAAGAATTCGTTTATAATTTTTACTTTTTATTATGTTTTTATTGATTTGGATATTAATGTATTTTATAGTTATATTTTTTATTTGATGTTAAAATATTTTTATATTATCTTATATATTTAATAATATTAAAAACTAATCAATCCGATTAAACCACACCGATATGATTTAAATTGAATTGATTTAATTATCACATAATAATAAATTTGATTGGTTTAAATATTTTATTAATCGATTAAATTGAATTAATTTAAAAAATAATAAAATCCAAACCAAATCACATCATCAACATCCCTACTGGTCACCAGAACCCTCCCGCACCGCATATTGCCAATGGCAAAATGTCTCTTGTGACAGTTCCAAGCACGTATTCAAAATAAACCTCACGGATATGTCTCTCACTTATCTTTTACTGCCTGAGTTCTCCTGTCTCCCTCATCTCAATACGCTCGACCTCTCATATAACTACCTAATCGGTTCTCCTCCTTCTCTAGCCAACCTCAAAGCCTTGCGGGTACTCCATTTAGACCACAACAGATTCACCAAAATATCAACATCTTTCTTCCAAGACCTCCCTCAAACTTTGGAGTGTTTCTCACTTAGTAATAATCCTTTTCTAGCTTCCTGGACAATACCAGGTGAACTGGCAAAGTTTGAAAGGCTTACCGAATTCAATGCCTCCAACGCAAACGTTACAGGTAAGCTCCCTAATGTTTTTGGTTCCGTTCCTGTAATGAAACTAGACATTTCTTACAATACTTTGACAGGTTCTCTCTCAGCCACATTTAAGACATCCAAGATTAGGGAATTGCAGCTTCAATATCAGAAGGTTGGACTTTCAGATTCGATCCATTTATGGTCCAGCAGGACAATTCTGAATTTGGTTTCTCTACAGGGAAATAACCTTACAGATCCTATCCCAGATTTATCCAATTCCATGTTATTGGACGTATTATATTTGGACCAGAATCAGTTCAATGGATTGGTTCCCCAGTCTTGGGCCAACATTTCTGGATTTTCCAGCGTCATTTCTCTATCCAGGAACAAATTGCAGGATCCCTACTAGGGATGTCAACGGCGCCCCGCGGGACAGGAGAGTCCCTCCCCATCCTCGTCCCCGTGAATGGCGGGGATGGGGATCCCCGCGAGAATTTTTTACGGGAGGCAAATTTTGCCTTCCATCCCTATTTCCCGTCAATTAATACCAAAGTATATATTTTTTGCATCAAACATAAATAAAAATTAATTTAACATAAATAATTAAATCAATAAAAAGAGAAAATTGAAGGTGAGATTGTGAGAGTGAGTGAAGAGAAATTGTAGAAGCAAGAAGGGGAGGGAAAGATCGAAGGTGAGGTGAGAGTTTGATTGTTCAACCGAGACCGAGAGTGAGTGAGGGGCTAAAGTGAGGGTTGTGGTTGCACTGTTGCGTGAGTGAGGAGAAAGATAAATAATAAGGTTAAGACATTAGGGTTGGAAAGAGGATGATGGGTTGGATTGGGTATTTGGGTTGAGTTGGGTAAAATTTAATTTTTATTGAATTGGGTTTGAGTTTTATTTTAAAAGTTAAATTAAATTTAAAATATATATTTTTTTAATTTTTTGCGGGGATGGGGATCCCCACGGGGCGGGGAAAATTTCGCGGGAAGAAAATCCCCCCCATCCCCGCCCCACGGGGAGGAATATTCCTCCCCGTCCCGTCCCCGTGACGGGGATCCCCGCGGGATCCCGTGGGAATCGAGGAAAATTGCCACCCCTAATCCATACCTTATCTTTCTTCATAATTAATGATTTTGCCAGTGTTTCACTTGATGGTAATAACTTCTGTACCAATGAAAGCTCTTGTGAATTGTGATCCTCAAGTCACAACATAGCTTGAGGTTGCAGGAGCTTTAGGGTATCCACTGGAGCTGTCGGATTTTTGAAGAGGTAATAATGCTTGTGCAAATTGGACATTCATAACATGTGGAGGCGAGTTGGAGAAAGATGTTGCGAAGATACATCTTGGGAATCAACAGTTTGGTGGGACTATTTCTCCACGTTTCTGTAATTTCATCTGGTTGACAGATTTGAACCTGAAAGACAATAATTTGACAAGTCAAATTCCTGATTGCTTGGCAAAGCTATCTCATCTTCAGTTCCTCGATGTTTCCAATAATAATCTGAATGGAGTTATCCCATCATTTTCATCATCTGTGAAAGTAAATACATCTGGAAACCCTTTACTCGTGCCCCCTTGCCACCCTCCTACAGCAAGCCCTCTAGTGACTCCCACCAATTGTATGATACATATTTGTTCAATGGATTCATAAAGTAGTAGGAATTACTTTTTATGCCTTGACAAATCTATTATGCATGGATTGATTTTAGAACAAATTTAAATTCACAGGGGAAAACAGAACCATGAAAGTTATTGTCCAGGTTGTAATACTTGTTGGAGCTACCGAAGCCATCTACTCAATTTTCATGAAAAAAAGGATGGTTGCTGTAACTTATAGTCATCAATCAGCAGATAACACCACTGACTAATTAGCTAATTCAGACATACGGCTCAGAAAGGAAAGGAAAAACTTATACTTTTGCTAAAAAGGAAGCATATTCAACAGTTCAGAATCAGAGTGGGCTCGCAGAAAATGTAAACCGAGTGAAACTCCAGCAGGAGCTTCAGTTATTAAATCTTGGGAAACTAGCTGCTGCAACAAACAATTTTGATCCAGATAACATGCTTGGCTAGGGCGGGTTTGGTCCAGTATACCTGGTAATGGGTCCTTACAAGACATCTGTTCTCTTCAACAATTGTGATCCTCCCTTTTGCTTCCACAAAAATTCAATCAGGTTGGTCAAGGTTTTTTATTTTTATTTTTTTAATTATTGTTATTATTGTATATATATATATATATATATATTTGTTGGCAGGGAAAATTCCAAGATGGGAAGGAGATAGCAGTTAAAAGACTTTCGAGAGCCTCTGGACAAGGGGCAGAAGAGTTCATGAAGTGACAGTGATTTCTAGACTACGACATAAAAAACTTGATAGACTCCTTGACTACTGTATTGAACAGGAAGAAAAGATGTTAGTCTATAAAACAGGCCAAATAGGAGCCTGGATGCCCTTCTTTTTGGTAGGAGTAAGTTAAACGCATGTTACTCTTTCTTGCACAGCTCCAAACCACCTATAAATTAATCATTTACTCTCTTATTTTTATGAAATTTATTTAGATCCACAAAAACATCTTCTTGATTGGGAAAAGTACTTCAAAATTATAGAAGGAATTAGTAGAGGTCTTATCTATCTTCACAAAAAAATCTAAATTTTTGATAATACATAAAGACTTAAAGGCAAATAACATTTTGTTGGATGAAGAATTGAATCTAAAAATTTTAGACTTTGAAATGGCAAGGATTTTTGAGAGCAATCAAATTTAAGCAATAACAAATAGGATTGTGGGAACATCGTAAGCTTCCATTTCTTTATCCACCTCTAAGATTTTCAAATTATAGTTTTAAGCTATGATAGTTACATTTTCTCCTATACTATGAAATATGGTGGTTACATATCACCTAAATATGCAATGGAAGGAAGATTTTCAAAGAAATCAAATGTGTTTAGCTTTGGTTGTTGGTATTAGAGATTGTCAGCAAAAGAAGAAACACAAGTTTTTACAATGATGAGCAATCTTTGAGCCTCTTGGGACATGTAAGTCTAGCTTATTCTGTTAACATGGAACTTGACAAGAAATGTCTAACATTATCCATGGAAGAAAACTAACTTTTGCAGCTTTATGTAGGCCTGGAAGTTGTGGAAGGGAAGGAACATTTTGGGGTTAATAGATCCACGATGTCTGTTCAAAGGTTTACTTTAGAAATTTCAAGATGAACTCATGGGATTGCTGTGTGTGCAAGAGTTCGCGGATGATAGGCCTAACATGTTCACTGTAGCGTCAATGCTCAGTAAAGAAACTGAGAAACTAGCTACTCCTAAGCAACCTGCATTCACCGAAAGGAAAGCAACCGTAGGGAAGTCTCAGTCAAGTCAAAAAAAGATATGTTCAGTCAACAATGTCACTATATCTATTGTTGAAGGCAGATAGCACGCAAGTTCTCTTTTTTTTTTCGGCATTTACAGTGGAACGGATGATAGAGAGCAAGCTAGTTTTTGAAAGAAAGTTTGGGTGCTGTAAATTGCTGTATATTCTTCTTCTTCTTCTTCTTTTTTGTTGAAATAAATTTAATACAATAATTATAATGTCATGTAAGATTATAAATATATAATTATTATATGTAAAAATTTATAATCATCACCAACAATTAAATGTGTATGATGTAAATGTATACAATACAAATTCTAAATGGAAAAAACTAATTATATAGCAATATATATACACTTAGAATGTAACAATATATTGTAACTCATTTTCCTTTTAAATAATCGTTTTTTCTAAGGGTAATGCCAAATTCTGTAAGTTTGGATAACTAAGATATAAATTACTGGTTCTACTCCTAAATAATCATTTTTCCTAGGCAAAAACCCATTTTTAACATTTTATCTTAATAATTTTGTAGGTTGTAGCCTCTCACCTTATATTACGGTATTTTTAACCATTTATCTTAATAAGTTTATAAGTTTTAATCCTTCACCTTATACTATGACATTTTTAACCTCTCACCCATATGAATTGAAGAAAATAGTCCTCACTTAATATTAGGTTATAATATTCTGTTAGTTGACTGTTAGCATTTGTTAGCTAACTGTTAGCATGTTAGCATTCCATTATAGAAAACATAAAATTTAAATTTAATTTTATTTGTTAGTTCTATTAATAGAATATTAATGAAACGTTAATGGAACGTTAATAGTCGGTCAACAACAGAATTAATAGAATATTATAACATGATCTTAAATGAAGGTTTTTTTTAATTCGTATAGGTAAGGGGCTAAACCTGTTATAATATAAGGTGATGGACTAAAACCTATAAATTTATTAAGATAAAATGTTAAAAGTGTCATATGATAAAATAAGAAGTTAAAACCTATAAATTTATTAAGTTAAAGGGCTAAAGTAGGTTTTA